TTTTATTTCAACACAGATAATAATATCCTTAATGCTTAGTCTTTGTTAATAATTTAAAATTGTAAAATTTAATTTCCTATTAAATAAAATACTTATGACATTTTTTTCTCAGGTTTCTCCAGAAAAGATTTATGCTTGGTTAGTGATTTATTACTCAAACTTATGCTCAGGAATAATATTTCTAATCTTCATCATCTTTAATATGACGATTACTGAAGATATAGAATATTTTATGGTTTGTACTAAATTTATCGTTATAATTTAAATATATATTTTATCAGTGAAAAAAAGTTGTCGCCCAGATGCGTGAATATTATAATTAGCAGTTTTTCATTCCAAATCATTATAACATTTAGGTACGTTAAGCTTAATTCGAAAACCTCTCATTATCAATAAATGTTTATAATTCATTAACTTTATACTCCATTGTGAGTTTGAACAGCGTGAATCATCTTTACAAATTATTAAATAATAAATACATCTATACGGCCTTTTTTGTATTTCAGTGTTTTCTTGAAATAACAATTATTGCGGTCGAAATATATATCGTGCAATCATATTACAAACAACAGAAGTTGGCCGCCATCAGTGATTTCGTTCATTTAAAATGGAAATATGTACCAAAACCTAAGACTCAATCAGATGAAAATAGATCCACGATATATAAAATACCAGAGAATCTGCTTACAGATCAAACAGAAGACCAATCCAGTTACATCCCGATATTTGTAAGAGACTTGCGCCGCGCAAATTCTTAAAATTGTATGATCAAATTTGCCAGTTCGTCGTGCAATCCATATTTGGTAAAAAGTGTTTTGTGCCCATTGTCAGACATATGTAATATTTATTGTAGTTTATTAAATCTGTAAATTGAAATCGTTTGAAGAAAATTGTATGTGCCTAATACCTACATAATAATATTATTTAACAATAACAATATCATTAATAGGGCACGGATTTTGTAGCAAATGCTTCTTTTGAGGGGAGTGTGATAGAAAGATAATTCTTAYWTRTAAATACRTTTTGAATCGTTCTGATTTTAATGAAGTAAACTTTTTTTTGCTTTTTTCCACAAAATCTGCTTTTTATTGCTTATAGGGGGTATTTGGTTATTTTTTCTTGATTTTTACATATTTTTCTTAAAAACTTAGCTTATTTCTAGGTATATTATACGTCTTGGACTATATTATTATTACCAGAAATTATAAAACCAGTAATAAATATATGACTGATAAAATAACTGTCGTTATTGTGCCGAAATAGTTTTATCTACAATTATCTATAGTTGTATTTACGACTCAAGGAAAGGGAAAATTATCTGAATTATAGGTACCTACATATTTTTATAGCACGTTCTAATATTTTAGTTGGCCGGTAAATATCAATCGACAATCAGGGAGGTTAGGTTAATTTTATGTGTAATTGAAACATGCTTTTTTAGAGTTAAATTAATAAATGCTTTTTTTGGCTACTTCAAATGATTTTTTAAGGATTTATTTTGCTACAAAATCCGAGCCCTAATCATTAAGTATGTATACTTTCATCATACCATATTATGCTTTCGAATTATATAATAAAATCAGTTACTTTTTAATTTTTTAATATGGAAATACTTAATAATTGTACAATATGTAAATAGTTAGAATGAGTTCTAATTTCATATCTCTGATTTCATAACTAATAAGTAATAAATCTTATTAAATAGAACTATAGGAGTGATGTCAAACGTCACTAAKCCAAGTGACATTTTTGAATAAAAATATTACTCATGTAATGTTGCTACTAAAATATCAAAACCAATCGTAAACAATAAGATACGAATAGACAGTTAAATTTGAATAGTTTGGGAATCGAATTACATTAGCAATTATAAACATTAAACACGTTATTCAGTTTTTTTTTTCTTGCAAATATTATAAAAATATCTAAAAATATTAATTTAATTTAATTATATGCTGTAGATGCCATTGGGGTTACAGAAAATAAATAATTATTATGCTTCTGACTTGTATTTTAATAATAAWTGGTTAAAACAATMCAAATAACTGCAGTGTTCAAAATCCGTAGTTTATATTATTCACAGTAATTTAATTCGTCACGGACAACGCCCTGCTGCAGGATCAATATGATTATGCTGCTAGTATATAATATTTATTGTTGAGCATAAAAATAATCTAATCAATTTTTACTTAAATCGATGCGTTTTTAATATTATGTCGTGTGTTTGTCTATGCAGATATAATTGACAATTATAAAAAATATTGTAAACGTCATGATATATTATAATATGATCCCATTTAAATGTTGACTTATATGTAAAGTTATGTCATACCTACATGCAATTAATTTTGGTAGTATTTCAATTAGAAAGTGTAAAATTACCATTTATCGTTTTTTTAAATGTATGTATAGGTATACTACCATTATAGGTAGGCACTAAAACTAAACAATTTAAATAATTGTATTAATTTATGTATAACTATGTGTTCAGTGTCGGAAGTAGATAATATAACTAATAAAATTAACAATAGATGTTACGTGATAATGCATAAATAAAATAATGAAGTGTATTTATTGAATTTATAATATACATATATTTTAATAAATAAAAATGGTGGAAGACCTATTCACAATGTGTAACAGAATGAATTACTTTTGTTCAAATCAATATTTTATTATACATGAATAGTTTTTTTTTTTTTTTTTTTTTTTAATATTATTAATAAATGTTTGCACTCATACAGTGCATAATATTTATTTATTTTTTATTATTTATGGAAAATTTTTATTTTTTTATTTTTTTTGGAAGTATGTAATTATTTAAATTAATTCGAAATTCAATAATTATTTTTTTCAAAATACTATTAGTATTAACTTACCAAAGATATAAGTAAATCTTAAATTATTTATTATCTGTATTTTTTTCACACGTTTAACTTTTATCAATTTTTCATTTTTATTTCATAATTTTTCAGGTCTTTTTGTTACATCCTGTATTACAATTCAATTTTATTTTATTACTATTCTCTTTGTTTGAAAGTTAAAATTAATAATATAACATAATACAATATAATAAACCTAATTAATTGTTGTCTATCAGTTATGAATATTTACACGTATTTAAATTTAGGTKTAAATATTTTATTAATTATATACATACCTATATATTATGTGATTATCTATAATTTATATTTGTTGCATATTCAATATAAGTAAAATGTGTTATTGTTTTGAGTCTCATTGTTATCATATATCAACATAAAACATTTATTTATATAAAACAACAAAACAGATATTTATGTTTTATATACACGTATCAAGTTTTTATTTTCCATTCGATCCGATAAAATAGCAAAGGTCAACTTTATCAATCGTTTCCTTCCTGATAATTTCGGACTATAACACTAGTTAGTAGTTGTGTTTCAATATTCATCAGATTCGAACAAATATTTCATATACTTTATATGAATTAATTATTTTTTTAAACATACATTAGTAAAATYTTACAGTAAAATATGGTTTCGTCGTGCTTTGGATTGCCGCTGCGTACAGGAACAAATATTATAGCAATTATCAATTCGGTAAGTTAAATGTAAAATTAATTAAATTAATATTGATTTTTTACTTCACATTTTTTAATTCCCCTTAATTATATTATATACATATTACCATTGATTATAAATACTATAATAGTATTTAAAATCAATGATATTACATATATAATGTCACACATTTTACAGGGTTACGGAATGTTTTACCGTATTTGTAACCATTAAATAACTAATTTTTTCATCAATACTATTGAGATTTGGTTTGGCCCGAAGCTATCGAAAGAAATTTTAAAACAAATGTTTAACAATATTTTACCTACTGCACCCAACCAATAAATTGCCTCCTTGCAATGGCCTCTACTAGACAGTACAAGTATATAGATACAAATAGCTTTAATATCTATTTTATTATGATTAGATAAAAAAAATAGTAATACTTACAGCTAAATTACAAGTTTTGATTGGAGTAAAATAGGTATAAATG